GTCAATATGGGTTCATCAATTTTAACAAATGTACAACACCAATGCATGGTGTTAATAATAGGAGAAACCAAGGCAGGGGGAAGGTTAAGAGGGTATATGGGAACTTCATACTATTTGAGATTCTCTTTGTGATTCATACAGAATTTTAGATATGAAAGACTGGGAAGTCCTATGATAAAGAAACATGTTTAACATTATTTATCTTAGAATTTCCTAAATTTATTTTACCCTGAATTTTTCCCCCAAGGAAATTATTAACATCCTGAGGAACTAAAGTTTCACAGAACATTCTTTGGGGATTGTTTACTGCAATGATCATTAAGATTCTTCCTAAATCCAAAAGGAATATGTAAAGGTATTCTAGATTGTTTTCTATTAAATTTATATGGTTAATGTAAAAAAAAAAGATTCTTCATAAATCTGAAAATCTTAATTTGCCCATTTGGTGACTTTCTTTAGTAGAAATCAATCATCACCAGATGATTCTGTAAAGTCAAGTTTCTGACCCAGCTGAGTCAGAGCCAGACTCTAGACCCAGTAGCCTCAGGAGAGGATGTGGGTGCTTTGTGAGCTCACTTCAGCTCTCTGACTGGCACCTGGTTTTACTACCACTAGTAGTAGTGAGTTCCTTATTTTGTTAATGAAGTCTATAGAATTTAACAGGTTAGCTACTTATTAAGTAGAAAAGATATCATATTCTTATCTAAGATTACAAAAACCAGTAACAATCCATACATTGCACTGATTCTATTCAGAGGATTTCTCAATCAAAATCACTCCTAATGTGAGAGTTAAAGTGAGATGTCAAAGCTGGAAGTGGTGTTTGCATGAGAGGTATGGAGCATGACTGTACATCTTGGGGACATTTAATAAATACTCATTCACTGATGTGCCGTTGAGTGTTCATTATGTCCATGAGCGTTGATTATAATTTATTGTATTTTTTATTTTTTTTTAAGATTTTATTTATTTGACAGAGAGAGAGATAGCGAGAGCAGGAACACAAGCAAGGGGAGTGGGAGAGGGAGAAGCAGGCTTCCCGCGGAGCAGGGAGCCCGATGCGGGACTCGATCCCAGGACCCTGGGATCATGACCTGAGCCGAAGGCAGCCGCTTAACGACTGAGCCACCCAGGCGCCCTTATTGTATTTTTTAAAACATATTTTCAGGGGTGCCTGGGTGGGCTCAGTCATTAAGTGTCTGCCTTTGGCTCGGGTCATGATCCCGGAGTCCTGGGATCAAGCCCCGCATCGGGCTCCCTGCTCAGTGCAAAGCCTGCTTCTCCCTCTCCCACTCCCCCTCTCTAGCTGTGTCTCTCTGTCAAATAAGTAAAATCTTTAAAAAAATACAAAATAAAACATATTTTCACTTTAATTTTCTTTCTGACTTCAGAGTAAAAAATCCCCAAACTGTCAGGGAAGGGCCTGGCATGGCCGTGGGAGATGCTGTGCTTTATGTATAGGACTTCCTAACAGACTTGGGCCACTCCCCTTCCAGAAGCACCTTATCCATTTGGTCCTCTCAATGCAGCTGCAGGATATGACCACTTTCAATGACTTTCACCGAGTCCATTTCCTTCTAGCCACTTTCAATCTTCTTATTCTTGACCCCTTTTCCTCTTTAATCCTTTGACATAGACTTTGGTCTCTGACTCTGGGTTCAGGCTGTTTTTGCTTCAGTGATGTTTGGTCGGGTTTTTATGGCTCTGAGTGGCCAGCATTTTGCACCACCATCTTGTTCATGCTTGGTCTGGAAATTCTTCCACCACAGTCATGAGTAATGTGTGCTCCTCTTTTCTGTCCTCATTCTCCATCCCCATTGGCCAGTGAAGAAGGGCTAGGAGAGGTTTGATACCTGCCTCTTCACCTTATTCCCAATCTTCTGCACAACTTCCTGTGTAGAGAAGTTTGGGGACCCACTATGGATCTCTGCAAGTGCCTTTGACTTTCCTTTTTGCCTCCTACTATGTAGGAACTGCTGAGGTATTAGAAGAAGAGAAAATAAAGAGACTCATATTTATCATGTGCCCATTGCACCAGGAACTGTGCTACTTGCTCATTGAATATCTACATCACTGCCATTTCACAAAGGGGATGACTGAAGCATTTACTTAACTTTTCCCTGTGGAGGAGCACCAGGGTGGCTCAGTCAGGTAAAAGTAAGTCCATTTCTTGATCTCGGCTCAGGTCTTGATCTCAGGGTCATGAGTTTGAGCCCCATGTTCGGGTCATGTTCGGGTCCATGCCCAGCAAAACAAACAAACAAAAACAAAAATTTTCCCTGTGGAAAAAAGTAGAAAGGGGCAGAACTGTGGTTTGAACATAGTTCTAGGTGACTCCCAAGCCTCTTGCCTCTCCATCTTAGTGGAACATCTATTTATGGACATATGAACCAAAGGCTAGAGAATCATATATAATTAAATTTGAGTTTCATATTATTTTTATGATACTACTTAATAAATGTTAATGAATGCTAAACACATTCCTCCCTTCGTTTATCAATAAATATTTATTGAATAACTTCTAACTATAAGTCAGACGCTGTCCTAAGCATTTGGGATATATTATTTTTTAAAATGACGAGAATCCCTGCTCTCGTATCACTCACATTCTAATGGGTAAAGAATAGAAAATAAGCAATAAACACAATAACAAATAAATAAATTGTAAAGTATATTCAAAAGTGTAAATAAACTGGGGAAAAGAAATAGAGCAAGATAAGGGGGATCAGCACAGGGTGTGGTTCAGGTGTTTACATTAGAATTCTAATAAGGGTGACACATTGCATTTGGTATTTTGTCTTAAAATTATTTTATTCTTTTTTTAAAGATTTTATTTATTTATTTATTTGAGAGAATGAGAATGAGAGAGAGAGAGCACATGAGAGGGGGGAGGGTCAGAGGGAGAAGCAGACTCCCCGCTGAGCAGGGAGCCCGATGTGGGACTCGATCCCAGGACTCCAGGATCATGACCTGAGCCGAAGGCAGTCGCTTAACCAACTGAGCCACCCAGGCGCCCTTAAAATTATTTTATTCTTAAAAATCCCTTACTACAGTCCCCTTTTTATCATGCCCATGAATATTTGGGAGAGAAAATGGGTCTTTTGTCTTTTAAAACAATTCCATGTTAGGAGCACCTGGGTGGCTCAGTCTGTTGGGAGGCTGCCTTCAGGTTGGGGTCGTGATCCGGGGTCCTAGGATGGAGCCCCGCATCAGGCTCCCTGCTCAGAGGGGAGCCTGCTTCTCCTTCTCCCTCTGCCTGCCGCTCCCCCTGCTTGTGCTCTCCCTGTCTCTATCAAATAAACAAATAAAATCTTTAAAAAAATTCCATGTTCTGCATTATGCTGATTACTTTGTTCTGTCTTTTATCTTGCTGCTCTGTATTTTATGTAAACTGGTAGTTAAATCTAAAAAAATAAAAAAATCAAATGAGGTGGTCATTGAGAAGATGATATTTGAACAAAGATTCCAAGAGAACAGCTGGCTGGTGGAAGACTGTCTAAGGATTCTGGCAGGACTACAGCAGAGCAAACAGTGTGGAGAGGGAGGAAAGGGGTGGGAATACAGAGACAGAGGCACATGAAGGCCACCAGAAAGGCTTTCCAATTTCCTTTTCTGCAGTAGGGAGCCATCGAGGGTGTTTGAACAAAAGAATCACTAAGTTTAACAGAGTGCCATGTTGAGAATAGACTAAGATAGTTTAATATCTAATTTTTTCATTGTGCATTCATGATATGTCATGCAGATAAGGTTACATCTGGCCTACCAAGGTCAAAATCTTGGCAAAAGTTCATTATCCTCAGAATGGGCCACTGAGAAGAACTGGCTGTGTGCGAAGTCGAGAGTCAGTGTAGGGATGGGGTGTAGGAGACGCAGGGCAGAGCAGCAATTAGAGAAGGAGAGTGTGCCTCTGACTTAGCCGTCTGAGCCTGTAACCTAGGCCTTATTCCCAAGTTTGTCTCCTTTAATGTGCAACATACTTTTCTCCATTTTGCAGAATGATTTTGGTTTAAGAAATTGAATTCGCCCTAAAAGATCCCATCTTCAGTTTCACATAAAAGTTTAAATTTTAGTGTGAATGACAAAAGAAAAACCACTTTGGGCCCAATTCAGATTTTTATTTTTTTTATTTGGTTTATGCAACTTTATTGAAGAAAAATAAATCAATTACTAGCAGAGCTATTAGTTGATCATTCATCCATTGACAACTTGCCTCATTTATTCAGTGCTATATTAAACAGTGTACTGGAAGATAGATTAACTAATAGCTCCAAGCCTCCTAACAATTTAAATGAGAATTACAAAATGTTTGAGACCCTATTTTGAAATACAAAGGGTGTTTGACTTCCAATTTCCATTCTCTGTAGAACAAGAACAGGTCATTCCTTTATTGACATGCATGAAATACATCACATTTTCTGCTCTGCTGATGCTATAAATTCAATACCAATTCTCCAGCCACATCAGTTATGAGCATAAAGTATATATGTAACCTCAAATCTCTAACAGTGGAAGTCTTAAAAAAAGACTGGATGCTAGAATAATGCTGCTTCCTTTGATGTGACAACTGAGCATCCATCTCCCTCCCCCTCAGATGATTTCTTCGGCATGTTAGAGCAGTGAGGAATGGTTTTAGTCTCATAACCAAGTTAGAGTGAAGACACTGGCCACATAATACACATGCTCCATTTTTTAAAAAATTCTGAATCTTGGGCCACTGTTATCTTGTAACTACTTTACAGTTTCTAAAAGCAGTTATTGTCCAAAGCTGGAAGAACTTAAGTCTTCTCAGAGGAGCATGTGAATGAATGGAGGGAGGTAAACAAAAAATAAAATAAAAAAAGATGAGGTCTGATAGGGGAACAGCCAGATAAGAAAATCAAAAAAAGAACAGTAATTTAAAGTTTATTCCAGCTATAACGCAGGTTATTCTGACTTTTACTTTTACTTGAAATAGTCTGTATATTTGGAATTTGAATATCTTATCTTGACTTCGTGAAGCATCACATGGCATTCTTCAGAGTCCGTTCCTGAGATATTCTGTTGCACTTATCTCTGTCTGTTTTATAGATCCGCGCAATCTCTGGCACTAGAGGGTCATCTGGGTTTGGATCACAGAGCCGTGAACAAGTGGATAGAAGAACTTTAGAAATAGTTAAAGCAGGAGACCACTGTGATCTTAGAATATCGAGACAAATACTACCATTACTGTTAATATTTGGATGATAAAATCTTGTTGTAAATGCAACCTTAGGTGGTTTGAAGGGGTAGTCTGTAGGAAAATGAATTGTCAAAAAGAATACACTGCCTTGATATGGGTTGTCAGGTCCCTTAATTGTGGCTTGCCAATGAAACATATCATCCCCAACTGGACCTGCAGAACATTGTGCTGGAGGTCACGGGCCAGATCACTAAGTTCCTTATTAATCCGTTCCAGTGCCATAGTCTGTGCTTTTCGTCTGGCTCCTCATTCTCTCAGTGTGTGCTCAAAGGTCCGGCCAAAACTCTTGATTATCCGGGCGGCAGGGAAGGATTGTCTCTTCGTCTCCTACTGGCTCTGCCAGACACAGGCGCAGAGGGCCTGGGGCCTCTCTCAAGCTGCGGCCTCGGCCTCCTCCCCGCGCGGCAGCTGGTGCCTCCCCGGCCCTACAGGGCTCACCGCGCACAACACAGCCACAAGATGTCCACTCTCCAGATTTTTAAAAATATTTTTTGAGCATATGCCAGTAGCTACATAAAATTCTCTTACTGCCTTTTGGTTGATTCTCTTCCGTGTACTGTATTCCTTCCCTTTTGGCTTTCTAGTTTCATGAAGCCAAGACAAGATATTCAAATTCCAAATATACAGACTATTTCAAGTAAAAGTAAAAATCTTCTCCTCTTTGGTTTGTACCAGCTCTTTATCACCAAGTTTGAATTTAGAATGTGGAATGAGAGATGTTTCTACTCTCAAAGACCCACGTGCGTTGCTCTGATAGACCTTTCCTGCTTGTCTAAAACATGAATCATATTTATGTGTATTAAAATAAGTTAAAAATACATATACCAAGCACCCTTTAAATTCAAAACACCAGGCTGAGAAATGAAGTATGAACATGGGCAGGCATACCCTCTGAGCTTAAGGAGTTCAAAAGCTAGCAGCTGTCACTCCAGTGGGAATTTTATTATAGGACCATTGTTGGTCCTATAAATGGTCTAAAACTTTAATTCTGCATGGCCATTGATTCTGACTGGGACTTTGAACAACTCCCCTACCTGCCCCGGTATTAGGGAATAGGTCAGACAAGATGTTAGAAATCTTTGCTAGCCACATTATAGCCCAGAGTCACCTTACACTCTCGGTGACTTCCTCTGCTCATTCTGATCTTGAAAAATCACTACTGGGATTCAGACTTGCTGGAGTACATTTACATTGGAAAGATTTATAAATTAAGCCAGTATATACATATATAGATTTAAACAATAATAAGTCAATTATTGATTATACTTTTTACCAAAAGATTCATAATTGATTACCTTAGGAGGCAAGGTCCTCTTATACATTTAAAAATATGATCCAATTCATTAAATATTCACAATTGACATGCTACTCTTTAGGGATACAAGTATTACAAGAGGTATAGCTGTATTGGGCTGCAGTAATAACTCCCATTAGCTCTTTGAAGTGAAAAGATAACATTATTGGAATAGAGGATTTCACAAAGATAAAAATCTGTGTCACAGAAACTGAAGGCAGGTCATTATACCACTGGGCGGCGGCGGGGGGAGGAATTCATTGCCATTTCCTCAAGGGCACACCAAGGAGAAGAAAAAAGAGCTGTTCTTTTCCATTTCCCTCTTACCAAAGGGACAGCTTCTAGATGATATTATATTTCTTAAATACCTTTTCTATTTCCTGTGATTGTGTTCATGTTGTGCATGTATGTATGTATATAAAAAACATACCTTTGGTAAATATTACTAATATATAGTACTATCTATATTCTATCATATCTGTCATTTTTCTTGTATCTATCTATTCATCTATCTATATGCCCACTTATCATCTATCTATCCATAAAAATTCTGTTTAAGAGAATGACATTTTTCATGAAAATCTCTTCATTACTAATTCTAACCCACTCTGGAATCTAGAGTTGTAATACATAAAAATCACTTCCAAAGGGAAAGATTATTATGAGTCTTTTCCTCTTTTCAATATATCAGATTTCAGGTATCTAGTAAATCAAATAACAAAGCAGCCGTGGCTACCTTAGAGGCGATGGGGAAAAGCCACACACGTGCATTCACACACCATGACCTGTCTTAGGTTTATGGTCTGTGGAAGAGACAGAAACACAAGAGGTGATCCAATCACTTACCAGGGCTAGATTTGGGAAAATCAGTTTCTGCTGTAGGTATTGGAGGACCAAGAGCAGGCAAGTCAGTGTGTACCTGCTGACACCACCCTGCATCCTTCACTGCAGGCTGAGCAGAACATCCCAAACTAATTTGATCAGCAGTATCCAGATGTGGATATTCCTCTCCTTTTTTCATGCTTTCACTTTGTTTGGAACAAAACAATCCTGCCTTGATCTCCTCTGAAAGAGCTGTAGGTGGGCCCAGGGATTTGGGAGCCACTGCCCCTTGGTCTAGCTCCTCAGGACAATGGGTTCTAGGCCACCAGTGACCAGCATGGCTCATGGCCAAGTGTCCTTCCCCATGTAACACTAAGCCCACTGCCAGGATGCCCAGGTTGTGGGAGGCTATGAAATGTCCACAGTACATTAATGTGATTTATCCCATGTGTGCCTCCACCACCTTTTGATCAAAAGGAGTTGTAGGGGAGAAGTTGTGCCAATTCAAACCAAGAGAGCTCAGCCTATTTCCAAAGGGAGCTCGTGTCACAGTGTGAGAGCAACCGGACTTCCAGGCCCCATAGGGGCATAGCGGGGCAGCCCCAATGGTGAGAAGAGTGTGAAAACCCTCAGCTTATTCCTGTTGACTGCCTCAGATGGGCATCTCACTCAGGTACCCAGGTACTATGCCCCAAAGCCATGCTCTTACTGTGGCAATTTGCTTGGCTTAGGAATGAAGCATATGCTTGGGAGAACCTGACTCATTATTTTCTGATGTTTACATCCTGAGCAGTCTATTCAGATAAAAAATACTGTGCATTTGGTGCTGGTGTTTGCATGTGGCTATGGCTCAGTGCTTGAGTGCTGGCTCTGCTCTGTGCACATGAACAACTCGCCTGGTTTCTATGATATAACCATTTATCATGCCGTGATGTGGCACGCTGACTTGCAATGTAGTTCTTTTTGCCCTCAGTGACACCGTTTTACCCTAAACACAGATTAAATGATTTAAATGATTCAATGATAAAAGGCACTGGCTTTTCCAACACTCTGATCAGGATTCAAGTACCTGCTCCACTACTTAGCAAATGAGTGAAACTGAGCAAGCCACCTAGACTCTGAGCCTCAATTTACTCATCTGCAAAATGAGGATACTAACATACCACCTGTTGCAGAGGATTATTGTGAGAAATAAATTAGATTATGTACCTCAGCTGCTCTTCAAGGAAATTGGCATGGCCAGAGTATAAGAAATCCTAGTCATTACTATTGGCAAATCAGTCTCCAAAGCTCCTTTCTGTGAACTGGGTAGTAGGTGACTGTGTTACTGCAGTTTTTTTTTCAGTAGCTGCAGCTGAATCCATTCTACCTGACAGAATTTTTTACCTGGAAGGGGGTGCTGCCAGTAAGCCTCTAAAATGTGGACTTGGCTGAGTGTGGCTTTGAACAGTGCGGACTCAGTTCAGGTGACAAATCTGGTCACCATTATTAGTTGGTGGCAACACATTTGGTCAATTGTCACCTGCTGTTCTTTGGGATACAGATCATGTACTATGACAACTTTGCTGTTAAAATAAGTAGTAGGAAAATTCAGAACCTTGTCATGTGGCTATAGACTTTTTTTTCCCTCTGGAACTCAGACTAAAGTTAGCCAGTCTGTAAGCAGAGACAGGAGTGGTATTCTTTACAATTCAAAATTGACTGAGAGTCCTATATTTTGGATCCATGCAGAATTTTAAAAATAAATGTATTTTTACCAAAGACAGACAGCCAAAAGAGTGGCAGTGAGGCACAGACTTAGTATCTTAAAATTTTTGCATACACAATCTCTTCTTCACAAAGACATCTTCAGACAAAGGTCAATCAACTGAGATCATATTACACTTGATACCCCCCTACTAATGCCTATTATTTTAAATGACTTCAAGGTATTGGCCATTAAGCTATAGAATAGAGGACTGGGAAAAACCTAGAGATCTCTATGTAAGGGAAAGGGATCTTCAGGCTAAATACCATGCCTAGATGAAATATTTGCCTGTGGTTATTCACAAATGGAATTAACTGACAAAGAACATTGGAAGTCTACATTTTTGAGGGAACTATATTGCCAAAGGCTAATAAGAGGCTGCAATTATTAAATCTTCTAAGTCCCCAGTTTCTGGAAATATGGCAGAAGAATAGGGGACCCTCGTTTCATCTGGTCCCTTGAATTCAGCTAGACATCTATCAGATTATTCTGAACACCTGTGAATTCAACCCAAGATCTAAGAAAAGAATTGCTGCAATTCCACAAATAGAAAATCAACTACTTTTTGCAAGGTAGAAGGTGCAGAGAAGTGAATTTGAGGGGATATATCGGAAGAAAAACCATGGGGGGAGGGGGCCTCCGGAAGCTGATATAGCAAAGGAGAACAAAATCAGACCTTTTAGAAGTCTGCTCTAGTGAGGGACCACCCTGTTTGAAAAGTGCCCAGGTGGTAAAGTGGGGCAGAATATTAGGTGGAACAGCATGGTCTCAGGATCTCTGGGGTCACAGAAAGAACAGGGGTGTGTGAGTATGGCTGAGTTCCCAACCATCGGAGCAAGGAAGCAGGCTACAATCAGTGAGCCCAGGAGTGGGCTCTCAGCTCAGTGTTGCCATAAACCATGAACTGAGTCACAATCAGGCAACCACTCTCCAAGCAGGGGCCCAGAAAACAGCAGAACTGCAGGGACTTTCTTCCTCCCCCTGGGGTGGGGGTGTGATGTGAGTGTGCACCACAGGAGTCTGCAGAGTTTTGCACACACAAAAGTGATTGACTGCTTTTCCCTGAGGGTGCACTGAAGAGTCGGGGGGCCTCGATCGTTCAGCTCTGGGACCCCGTTCTTATTGTTTTCTTCATCCTAGCAGCTAGGAAATCCTTCAGGAAACAAAAGCCACATAGAGCAACCAGAAGCAGCTTACACTGAGCAACCTGGCAAGGGACTGCGCAACTCTGCCCAGGCAAAGACATCTGAGAATCAGTGCAACAGGCCCCTCCCCCAGGAGACCAGCAGGAACATCAGGCTAATACCAAGTTTACAGATCACACAGAACTGAAAAGCTCCTCTGCCAGGGGAAAGTAGTATGTAGAATTAGAGTTTTTTTTTTTCTCATGATTCTTTGATCTTTCAGTTTAAAATTTTCTTTTTTTTTCCTTTTTTCCTTTTTAACTAGTTTCTTATTTTCTCAACTTTTTAAATGTCTTTTTAAATGTTCTTTTTTTACATTTACGTTTTATAGATATATTCTTAATTTTTGGCTTCCTTTCACTGTATTCAATTTTATTTTTGTATATGTATGTAAGTTTTTCTTTCTTTACAATT